TTTTTTTTTTTTTTTCTTTATTTCTGTATATTCCTAACTTGGATAAGGGAGACTTCTCTCAGCAGCATACCAGTGTTGATATTATTGCCCTATTTATTGTTCCTCTTTTCTCCTCTACCCCATACTCCAAAGGCGAGCTCATTCTTTGGAGAGCCTTGTACATCACTTAGATTTGAGCAAAACTCTCAAACATACAGACCTTTTTGTGACTTTTCCAGATTCAACTGCATGGCTGTTAAAGGGAAAAAAAAAAAAACAACTCCTGAGCTTCACAGCTATAAACCCCAACAAACCACCGCTCTACAGAGATGCGCACAAATGACAGCAAGTTATATGAAATTCCGCTGAATTTACGGTTTCAGTACTGCATATAGAACCTGTTGAGTAAATAAGGCATCTCCTCCTAGTTAGTATTCCACCCAGGAAGGAAAGGTGCAGTGCTGACTAGAGGAAACGGCAGGGATGTGCAGGGATTTTAGTATTGTCTTGGCTTTTGAGGGAATCGGTTTTTAGGGTGGTTTGGGTTTTTTTGCTCTTTGTTATTTTAACTGTTGTCTGTGCATAGTTTTGCACTCTTCATTCCTGGAATTTGCTTCCTCTTAATGATGGCATTTTCCAAAAACTGTTGCAGGATTCAGCCTGTCTTCAGAAACATAGGAAGGCAACATTTGTACTGAATATGACCAGTACTCTCTAAGAAGTGTGCTTTCTGATTTGAGTTGGAAGGGACCTTAAAGATCATCTAGTATTATTAAAACACACTGTTTTGATCTGTTTGCATTACTGTTTCCATCAATGTTTTTCCCCTAAAAGTCACTTTAAACTATCCTAAAGGTCTTGTTATTTATTGGTTTCTGCAAATTCCTTAGCCCTTCAGGCAACATCTGGGAATCTTATGTGAATATGTTTTTGCATATCTTTTTGTGTTGATTTTTTTTTCCTTCCTTTCAGTAGGTTCCTTTTGATTTATTTTCATTGGTTTTGGTTATTGTTTTTTTTTTTTTTTGAGATAGAAGATGCTTTTAAGCTTTATTTTGGAAGCACTGTTTTAAGTATCAAAAGTTCTTTAAATATGTATATCATCAGCTATGTAAGGTGCTAGCTTTAGATGATGTTTTTTGATGTTAGTTAATGTATTCAAATCTGAAAATAAATGCTCTCCTTATGCAGCTTCCACAGTTGCTATTTATAGAGTTCTCATCTTCCCTTTTGTTGGTAGGTGTAATTAACAAGTCATCACTGGGAATTTTCCTAATCACAAAAGACTCTTAGTTGTAAGTACAAAATGGTCTAAATTCACTTCTGAGTAGGCAGAAATGGGGATAACTTCTGTTGGATGTCCTATCCATGGCCCTTTCATGTCCCACTCCCTTCTGCATCCAGTCATACACTTGAGGAAAATTAGGGTTTGGTGAAAAAGAAAGTTTGTCCAATTTAAAACAGCTGGTTTTGCCAGCAGCAGAAGCCCTGTTTGCTTCTGTTGTCTTTCAAAATCTGCCCTTCCAGAAACCCTGTCAGCTACCTGGCATTTTTTGCCTTTCATTGGCAAAGGAGCAAGTGAGTTTCTAGATATTTGCTGATAGTCAATACCACAACCTACATGTCCTCATGGGGCATTTAAGAGGCAATTCCTTCATACTTAGAGTAATATTTGAAATTTGTGACGTTGAGCAGGACTTAACCTTCCATCAGCCTGTTTAGTTCTTCCATTTCTCTGAATTTGAAAAGAGGGAAAATATTGCCCGTGTTTAAAGACAGAGAGGGGAGGTACCATTGTGTACATTTTTCTCTTAACCTATTGTTACCTTCAATTTTTAAGTAAAATTTCATTGGAAATACAGCACTTCATGACGCTCTTACAAAGCCATCATTTCCTATTAAGTAATTTTCCCATTGAATAGGTAATGTAACGCCTGGTGTGGAGGTGGGAAAGAGCCTACAAGAGCAATAAAACTCCCTGAACCTTCCTAGCTTGCAAGGTGATTTTAAAAAAAAGGGAGATTGTTCTTCTAATAAGCTGTTTGATAAAATTTAGTTCATATTGAATTCAGTTTCTTGGTCAGGAGTATTGAATGAATTCAAGGTTTCAGATAATAAAAAAATAGAAATATGAAGAAAATTTTGTTGACATACTAGACTTCCAGAACAGAAGCCAAAATTAGCGTTTACGAGCTGAATGGGAAACTAGGGAGATACCTGTTGGATAAGAAAATTTTTCTTCCTCTGATAACTTGAGACCCACGTTTCGCCACAGAACTTTATTTGTGCACATTCCCGTATAACTCTTAATATTCGGAGTTCTCATGTGAGCCAAATAGTATTTATTTTGGTAACAGGAAAACTGAAAACGTTGTAGGCTGCCTTGCTCAACGAGTGATACCCGAACAACTGCAGAGTGGTACCAGCTGCCTCTGGCCACGTTGTAGTGGTGACTGTAGGAACCTTCAAAGAAAGATCAAAGGAAAGTTAACAGTTCTCATCTCAACAGGTAGGAGAAGTTCTCTAGAGAAGCTCTTGAATTCTTGAGTTCTTGATTTTAGCAGCAGCTCTTCACTGGCTTAGTCTGGGTGCTTGGCTGTTGGCTGGGGTCAAGTAGCTCTGCAGTTGAGGTCAGTCCCGTTCTCTAGGTGTACAGTTGTTTCTCTGGAACAGAAAGTTAATGGGTTTCAGAGAATGGATTTCAAAATAACGTGACACAATTTTATTGATCTCTAGTTGGCCAATTCAGAGTGTAGGACGGTGAATTAAAAGAAATAAAGTTTCTTCACTGTGGAAATGACTTGCAGGTTTGTTATTCTGAAGTTTATTCCATTGCTGCTGCGGTTTGATTTATCAGATAGAAAAAGATCAGTCTTCGTTCTTACAGTTCAGAGTTTTCAGGTACTATTTTTAATGTTATTACAGTTCAGAGTTTGCATTGCTTCCATGTTACAACTTTTGTAAGAAATTGGACTACTTTCAAATGATCCTATAATGCAAAAGTTGCTGATGTTTCACTTCAGCATGAAGAAAGTATCAATGGGAAAGGAGCTTTTGGCTTCCAATGTGTTGCTAAATGGATTTTTAAGTCTGTTTTGGAGGCTTACCTAGCCTTGTTTCAAGTGTATTTGAATGAAGTGATTTCATATTGCTGAACTTTCATATTGCAGAGCTTCTTATGTGAAAAGGCAGACCCTGACTTACGTAAAACTATACAGCTACGTAGGAACTGATACAAAACAAATCATGCATCACCTTTGTGGTGGTTTCAAATGTTCAGACTTACGGGGTGGTAAGAATTCAAGTGGTGGTTTAGTACAATGAGCGCCGGTCCAGCATTTTCTATGTCTCAAGTAAAGGTGGCTTTGGATCAAGTTGTACTTTTTGATAGTTTCTATCTTTGTTTTCTATTTTGACAATTGCTGGGGAGGAACTCCCCTGAGTTTTTATGACGCTGAATTTTCTGGGTAAATGTAGCTAACAAGGAGGATGGAGAAAACTGTTCCTGTTTTTGTTGGATGCTGTGAATTTAAATTCAGGAAGATGAAGAATTCTGAAATACAACTCAAAAGCATATGAGTGTAGCAGTTACGTTACTAACAAGAAAAAGGGTACTTTTCGGGTATGAAGGAGATATATTTTACAAGATTGTATTTAGAAGATGGCCATACGTGTAATTGTACATTTTCAGATGAAAAGAGCCACAAAACCTGATGCAAGAAATGGAGACTTGAGAACTACCTTTGGATTTAGTTATATATATTCCTCTGATCTGTCTAACTCTTAATAGGGTATTAATCGTATGGTAGTGTCATGTAAAAGAGTAGGAGAAGTGAATGGTGATGTATTTAGTAATGTTATTTGCAATTAAAAAGCCAGAGGAACGGTTGTGGTTGTATGATCAACCTTGAATCAGAATAGTATGGTCGCCTTGTGCTTTCAAATTGATTTTGCTCGCCTTAAAGAAAAGATCTTTCAGGTCATCCAGCATGCTGCAAATCATTCCCTCGTACAGGTGGACATTATATTAGCCTTTGATACAAAATAAAGATGATGATGAAATTACTGGTTCTGTAAAGATATCCCTTTAATATCTTTGAAAGAAACGATGGTTGTCTGTTGTGTCGTGCTGCTGGGAAACACAGTGCACAATATATGCCGGGAGGGGAATTTTCCCTCACTATAAAATATAAGCAGCATTTGCCTTTATAAGCAGTAGATTTTACTGCCAGAAATCGATTCTATCCCCAGCCCTCCTCCCCAACACATGCTTCTTAACATATTAAACTGAGCAGCTTTGGCTTGCTTTCTTTTGAGATCTGAAAATGGTTGCAGCTAAATCTGGAGGCGATGTATAGAGAGATGTAAAATACTCCAGAAACTATGGAGGTGCTTGTCTGGGGGAGGAGATCTGGGGCAACAGGTGTGTTAAAGGTCAAGGGGAAAAAAAAATCTACATTAGATGGGAGCTTCACTATTTTTAATTGCTTCTTTTTGCATGACTGACTATTTTTTTTCCCCCTCCTGATTTTTTGTGTTCTCAGTAACACCTCTTCTGATGTTTCTGTTCACTAAGTTTAACTTTTGACAGCAAGGGGGCTGGAGGTCAGGGGTGTTCTTTGTTTCTCGTTTCTCATCAGCAGCTTTTTAGTTCAGTTTCTGGAAAGTACATTTCTCCCGGCAACAGGAGCATTTAGTAGCTGATGTTGGGCTTGCCTTTTGCTTTGACAAGTGTTTTGGCTTTCGTGCCTGAAGCTGCTTGCATGTGAAGCTGCTCTTTGGAGGGGTTATGGAGCAGGGAAATGTGTAATAACATGCAAAGATGTGTTTCAAAGCTAGGAAGCTGTTAACAGTGAACAGTATGTTCTACAGGATGGTTACATTTATCCTGAAACTGTACTAGCCTGTACTAGTGGTATGGTAGTCAAAAGTGATTGGCAACATTGTTGTAAAAGTTTAATCAAATATCTCCAGGTCCAATGGAAGAAAATTAATAGTTTTGCATTTTCTTTTCTCCTCAGAAAACCTGAAAAAGGAGTCCAGTACCTAATTGAGCGAGGTTTTGTGCCAGACACTCCGGTTGGTGTCGCCCACTTTCTCCTACAAAGAAAAGGTCTCAGCAGACAGATGATCGGAGAATTTTTGGGAAATCGGCAAAAACAGTTCAACCGGGATGTCTTAGAGTGAGTATTGTGTGTGTGGAGGAAGTAAGCATATTTTAATGCTCAAGTAGGATGTTTCATCAAGCTAGAGGTAGTAATGGTCTCTGAATGTTTCCTGCTTGTCTCTGGATCTTGTTCTGAAGGAGGGAGAAACCGGACTCTTAAGGGTTAAGAAAGAAAACATGCACATGAGCAAATATTTATTTCTTTGCTTTCCAGCTAAGTTACTGTTTCTGTTCTTGACCCAGCAAGATACTTACAAGGATTTATGTTCCCTGTAGTCATGTGCATTTACTCTATTTATGTTTTAATTTTATTGGCATTAGAGTGTATTATTTCCAAGTCTTTTTCCTTCTTCAATCTCTCTAATAATTTACTGAATGAAACAAAATAATATTATACGCAACATAAGGCTTCATCAGTAACAGAACATGAAAATAATTATTACAGCCAAATGGCTCAGACGTTAGATAAACAGGGATTTCAGCCTGTACAGGCATATGCTGACAAGGTCTATACAAACTGTTCTTTTCTGAAAGATTAGATAAACAGAAACCGTTTTAAAAACCAAAGAAATTCAAAGCAGAAAATTAGACTTTTAGCAGCTTGGTCATAAATTTCTAAACCTGATATACAGAGTAGACCAAAAAAAAGTTGCTTTATTTTAAGAGAGTGTTCATTTAAAACACGTTTTTTGGGGGGGCTTTGTTTTTTTTGTAGCCAATATACTGACCTGTAGACATGAATACATCTTAGTCCAGCTTTGTCCAAGGAGTTGTATAAAAAATTTAGTTGTTTAACAAAACTGCAGAGAATGAAAGCAAAAAAACCTCATGTCTTGCCCACTAAGGAAGACTAGGAAAAATTCTGACCACAGGTTTTAACCACAGATTAATAAAAGCAGTGCTGAAATTTGTGCTGGTCTGTAGATACAGTCTTTCTTGAGGACTGAATCTTGATACGTAATATTGATAAATCACAAAAAAAAATACAGTATCATGATACAAAGTGTCTGCCAACACCTTATATTTTCTTTGCACGTTTCTTATAGACTGCTCTCACTGGCTTCGTGCCGCAGAGATGTTGGTCACATTCCCTGTAGTCATCCTGATCTCACTGTGATGCTGCCAGAATTTACATATCTCAAATTGCAAACTTGAGCACTGTATTCCTACAGCTAATGTCGTGTGTACACATGCCATAGACTTCTTTAGAGGTCTTCTCCTTCTTTCCTGCGCCGTGCATAGTGCGATACCCAGCAGAAAGCAGTGGGAGAGGCTGTGTACCAAAGCACGCAGTGGGGCGCGGTAGCCAGTGATACCACACAGAGTAACAGAATGTGGCTTGGTTTTGATGCCATCCCTATTCAGCATGAGTCATTAGTAACTCCTGGTAATGATGGTCTGGATTTTGCAATTATGAGTCAGACTAGGATGAAGACTTTCCAAAGAGTGTGTATTTTCTAATTTTTTTAAAGAAAACTGCACAAGTCCAGGAGGAGATGATGTATTTATAATCTTAGATGATGCATTTTGTGGTCTCGAAGAAATAGTTTGCCTCACTGTCTCAGGCAGACTAGCAGAATATGGGTAAGTAGACGTGTATCTCTGCTAGTCAGATGCTATCTGTGATGAGGTGAACTGCTGAAAGTAAGGTCATAATCACCTACCTACGACCCTACAACAATCCTTTTATTGAAATTAATCTGTTCTTAAAAAGCTGTTTCATGCGTTGGGGTGAGGAATACCCTGTAAGCGGCGCAGTTCTCTTGATAGTGCTCTGAACCTTGCCTGCAAATAGGAGCAAGGTACTTTTCTTAAAAAAGAGAGAATAGTATTTCATCTTGAATATCACATTTACAGATTGGAGGTAGATTTTATTGAACTGATAATAACTCCACGTTGTTACATAGAAAAGATATTTTAACAGATGATCCTTTTTCTGTTACACAATTTAATTTCAAGTGACATGCTTTGCTTTGTGTTCAAGTTTCCCAGATCCTGTAAATCAGATGTTTGAAATCTTTTCACTGGACCTTAGAAAATATTCAAGAAAGTAGCCTAAATTTTTGTCCAAGAGCCGCATTCTGGGCCTGCTGTAGTTGCTACCTGGTGACAGCTCAATTGTAAAGGCATTGTTTGGGTGGCATGGGGCTGGCATTGATGTTGTGCCCTGTCCAACGCTTGAGGCACATCAGACACGCTTCCCAAAGCACTGCTGTTCTGCAGCGAGCCTCAGCTTTCTCTCTCTGTCTAACCAAGGAGTGCTTGATGTAGCAGAGATGTAGCTGAGGAACTCAAAGAAAGAATTAAATAAAACCATCATACAGAACACTGTTAAAAGTGAGAGAGACAGTGTGACATTGTGTCGCTCTGTCTAGGACTGTGTCATTTCAGTCCATCACACTACACAGTTGCGTGCAAGAGTACAGACAAAAGGTACAGTAGAGAGCCAAGGCATCTGTAGCTGCCCTGACCCCGCAAAGGGTGTGTGCCACTTCTCTTGCCTAAATTTTGTAGGGAGGTGGTAAGCGGGGGATAGTTCCCAGGAAGAAGTTTCAATTATTTGCCTACCTAGAAGCAGCAAAGTGTAACTGCTGCTGGCTTTTACCTGCCTGGGAGGTGGAGCTGTAAAGTGAAGATGCGGTCGTTCAGCACAGGCTTATTCACCTGGAGTATGTATGTGCTGGAGTTCTCCTGCAGTGACTAAAGTCCATTTTATCCTGTTCTCTTTATCGTTGTGATCATGATGTTGTCATCAAGGGTTATAATTTTGTTAACCATTGTTTAAAAAAAAAAACTAAACAAGTACGTGATCTTACTTTCATGATTGCATTTGCTGTACAGACCTAGTAAAAGTCACTTGTTCCCTTTTTGGTCGTTACACAGCCACTAGAAAAGTTTTGTTTACTGTTTTGAAATATGTGCGGAAAAGTACTGGTTCCAGTTAAGAACATTGAGCACGGTGGTGTATCTGCTGTCTCCATAGCTGATACAAAAGATTTTTTAAGACCCTTCCCCATTACGTTGCTGGCCAGCATGTTTCTGGAGGTCCTTAATAGCTCTAGTTATTTCAGTTTGACTCCAGCTTGTCTGCACGTGTACTTTACACCTTTGAAGGAGAAAAGAGCTTTTGAAAGTGTTACAGAACTTACAATAGGTGGCAAGACTGTGAACTTTATTGCAGAACTGATAACAGGTTTTTAGGAGTGCATTGGAAAGGGAGTGAGAAATGCCAAGCTTGTTTGTTTCTTTCCTTGCGCCTCTGCATAAAAGGAAAAATATTCGGGCAAAGTGAATAAATTGCTTTGGTCTTAATCTATGTTAGCTACAATGTTACTAGAAGAAAAATGTGAGCTACTCTAATTTATGCTTGCATAGCTATATGTTTAAGAAAAGGCCTTTAAGACTGGATTGTGCTTGCTTTCTGTGATTTCTGCACTTGCAGTGCTGTTACTTGCTGTGATTCATGTCTGGTTATTTAAAAACTAAAAGCTAAGTTTAAAGAAAGGAAATTTATAAGCTTCTGATTTTAAAGTAGTCCTTAAAAAAAGTATTAGAATGACATAGTTCACATTGATTATCTTAAACTGGTTCCTTTTTTATTTTTTGTCAGCACTGTATTTTCAGAGCAAGAAAGCAATTATTTCTCCGTAAATGTTAACTGAAAGACATGGCAAACGATGAGGAGATGAGAATTACAGTAATAGGAAGAGAGTATCCAAATAAGATTAATTTTTTTTCTCTCTGTATGTAAGAACATTTATAGATGCAGAGCTATTTGGTGCAGATTATTGTGCTTGCTGCAGGCTGTTTGAGATTTGCTATGTTGAGCAGTATAAACTATTTATTATTATTATTATAGGCATCGTAATAATTGATTGGCCTGGAAGCACAAAGCCAATAATTGTTCTTGGCTATGGTATGTCACTTACCTTGGTCAGACATTTGTCATTCCAGCAGCTCTTCTGTTAAGAAACAGAAAAAAAAAGGGCCTGCTTACATGCATGCATTCTCACTGATCTATTATTTGCAGTCCTTCCTTCACAGCTTACCTGCAATTATTGCAGTTGCTGCTGAGTGTTTCAGAAAACTCCATGAATCTCTACAAGAGATGGAAAATAGAGAGGTTCTTTTGGTCTCAAAATCTTACCTTTGGGTACCATATTGTTAGAAATTAAAAGACAATGGCAATGTGTTTTTATTCTAGCTGCGTTGTGGATGAAATGGACTTCTCAACAATGGAACTGGATGAAGCACTCAGGAAATTTCAGGCTCATATCCGTGTTCAAGGAGAAGCCCAGAAAGTAGAACGGCTCATTGAAGCTTTTAGGTACGATGCTGAAATAAATTATTCAGTGCCCAGAAACGTACTGTTGTCTGATGGTCAGACTGGAGAACTGGGGAAGTTGAGTGTGTCTAAGTTATTTCCCTGCTTATCTGCACGGCCCTTGTGAGCTGTGTACAGTTTCACATACAGCATGGCATTTGTGGTGGTTTTGCTGAGTATGAAATAGGAAGTTTAATTTGCTGGTGCTGCTCATGTGTGTAATTTCTATTAACGTGGCAAGGTTTATCTATTAAAAGTTCTTTCTGGCATCAGTGGAAAAGAAATTTGAGGATTTTTGAACATCTCTAACAATTTGCATATAAAAGTTTGTATGAGTGGAATTAGAAGACCATTTATGGTTTAGAGTACATATGCTCTGAGCCTTTCAGTAAGCATCTCAACAACAGTGGAATAAAGAGCATTAACTTATTAATACTAACACAAGCATGCTTTATCTGGGGCAGGACGAGATTTAAATCATCATGTGGCAGTAAGCTAAAATCAATGCTGTATTCTTACCTGGCATCAATAGGTATTACTCGGTGAAAAAAAAACAAAAACAAAAACAAAACAAAAAAAACTGAAGTTACTGTAGGTCAGAATCTGTACTAAGAAGTGAAGTTACAGTGGTAGTAAAAAACAAAAGCCTTCCACGTTCTAGGATTGGCTTATGAAAATATGCGGGTGGACAACTAAATACATGTTTGGAACACAAATAATAGCTTGCTCAGCCTCTGAAATGTAGCAGCAGTTGGTTTATTTGGTGGAATTAGAACAGTAATTCATAGCTCTGACAGCTTCCCCTCTTTGCTTTTTTCCAGCCAACGATACTGTATCTGCAATCCAGGTGTGGTGAGACAGTTTAGAAATCCTGATACCATCTTCATTCTAGCTTTTGCCATCATACTGTTAAACACAGACATGTACAGCCCAAATGTGAAACCAGAACGCAAAATGAAGCTAGAAGATTTTGTCAAGAATCTACGGGGTAAGCAAACTCTAACCATGATGGTCATGAAAGCTTTTCCCTGTAACTGTCATTGGAGGGACACCGGGTATCTGCTGGGAAAAAAAAAAAAAAAAACCAAAATACAGGACACCTGATTCTGATTTCACCTGACTTTTAAAACGACTGTTATTTTTACAGGCTTTAGTTATTTCTGGAATAGTGAAAGCAGAACTAAGCAGATAATTTTTTGTCATTTTTAGCTTGTCTGTCTTGAGCGGATGTGTTGTCAGGTCTTTTTATTCCCAGTTCTTTCAATGTAGCTGAAAAGTGACCATTTCCTTGTACTCAGAATTCTTCAGTACCTCATTTTTTTAGATATAATTGGAATTTGCCACACTTACACTCTTCACAAAGTCAAAGGGCAGCTCATAAAGACAACTTCTATGCACATGAATGAAGGTAAATAAATTCCATGGCAAAGACTGCGTGTGTGTGTGTTTATAGATAAATAAATCTTCATACAGTGTCACTGCATGTTGTGGACTATTCCTGAGAGGAGGAAAGCGATTTCCATAAGCTTACTAATGAATTCTTATAGAGATGCTGCCTTCATAGTTTGTAGCTTGTGATTTCTCCGTAGTAACCATGTATTACAAGGAATATCAGATCTCTGTTCCAAAAAAATTAAGCAAGTAGTCTCTTACATATTTTAGAGTTTTATTCTAAAAGGAGATTTCTTTTCCTCAGTAGTTTCAAAAGCATAAACTGCATATTCTTGTTAAGTAGACATGCAGAGGAGACAGAGCCATTGTCTCTGTGTTTTCTTTAGAGAGGTACAAACCTGGGACCCAAAGCAACAAAGCAACTTGCCTTGTTTTAAGAGATGCAGATTAATGACTTTGCTAGAAACTTATATGCTAGGTATTGCCATAGAAAACTTGGATTTTGTGTATATGTATTAAGGAACACAAATCACTGTACCATGGTGAGGACTTTTGGAAATAAACTAAAGGTTTAAATTCACAGTGGGGAAAAAAATTCCAACTCCAAAACCTTCCTGAAAGGTATACATTAAATAGCACAGAACTTTCATTTTGGTGTCTCCATTTGTATATATCTTGATAAAGAAACTGTTTGTCAGGCTATGGCACATCTAAGCCTGCAATGAGATTGCCAAAAATAACACAGGGATTTTTTTAAATCTGTATCTCAGATCTTTCTATCCTGGTTCTTTTGGTGAAAAAGAAGAGGTTTTTATGAAGTATCTGCTCAGCTCTGCCTGACAGGAGGTGGGCACTGTAGGGCTGAGGAGGTAGATGGTGTACGGGGAGATGATACCTCCTGTTGTCCCTGGGCACTCAAGGAAGAACAGATCAGACAGCATCTTCCTTTTATCACAGCGGAGCACTCAGATGCTAGAGAAATAAAATGAGGCTGAAGTCCCCATCCCTTTTTTTTGCTTTAAGAGAGTTTGTGCCCATAGGGAAAAAGCTTTTACTGTAGTTCCATTACTGTGTGTTTGTGCAAAAGCCAGGAAAATTGCCTGCTCAGTCATTGCAACCCTCTCCTCCTCCTCCTCCCCCTGCTTCCCCTGCTTTTAAGCACAGGATAAGCACGACCTAGTGCAGAGTCTCTCTTCTTTTGGCAACAATGGATGTAGCAGCGCGGTAGCGGAACAGGCCCGCTATCGCAGGCACCAGCAGGTGCTGAGTTAACAGCCGTTTTCTCAGTGATACGTAGAACTGGGCCGAATGGCAGAAAGGCACAACCAAGTTGCTTAATGTATAAAAATATATTGATGCATCTCAGATGCACGGCAGTTTGTGTTCTTGTGTGCATGTGGTACATTCGTTTTAGTGCTAGTGAAAACAAAATACTTGCGGTGTTCTGGAATTTCAGATCTTGAAAATGAAAGTCCTGTTTGGAGATTTTATTCCTTTAGATTTATATAAGACATTAATGAACGATCTGTGCTAAGCAGATGTTTTAGCTTAGCGAAGTTTATCTGTGTTGAGACTTTATTGTAAAGGCCACAAAGATTAAAAAAGGCCTGATATTCATCTCTTAGCATAACAATACAGTGATATTTGTTGTATTAAATACAGTACATTCTTACAGAGCTCCAGCCCGAATTTCTTATTATTGTAGGCATTTTTGTAACAGGCTACCTTGCCTATAACTTTAAATGACTGGATTGCAAAGGGTGATCTGTGGAAGACTTGCTGATGTGGAACAGAACAGAGGCTCTTTTGCTTCCTTCTAGTTGCAAAGAAACTGTATTTATCACAGAATTTTTTATGTGAGCAGTTGTTCCTCTGGGTGACAAAATACTGTATTTTAGCTTCTGAACGGAGATAAGAGGTTATTGCTTTAAAACCTGTTTAAAAATAGACATGCATCTCCCTGTCCCCTGGAAATCCAGCTTTGAGTCACTTGTTGATACTGGACTCCTTCCACTGCCATTAAAAATTCAGGATAGAGCATTCAAGACACTGTGGCATTTGTTAGAATACTGACATGCCAATGATAATCACACACTGCTAAACAGTAGTACTGTAACTAGGCTATTTTGTTGATTTGTTTTTCCAGAGTAAATTAATTGGTTTTGAAATGATACAGGAAATATTGGTTAAATTAATTTTTACTGGGTTGTCATAAGGTTTTCGTGTTTTGTGTAGGAAATTATTTTATGAACAGAGCGTTGAGTAGTATTGGGACAGAGGCAAAATGGAATGGTGGTTCTGTTTCCTCCCAGTGGTATACTCCTAGGAGGAATTCCTACAGAGATTTCAGTGTCTAAAGTGTTATTTAACTCATGTGGCCTTTGATACCAAACAGAGGAGACTTAAAAAAAAAAAGTAAATGCATAGGAAATCAGCCTGTTTACAGCTTACTTTTGGATTAGAGTTTTAAAACAAAAAAAAACAAACCTGTGTAATTTCCATCAATGTCTTGGCATACCAGGGACAGCAAGCTTTTGGACAAAAATCAGTGCTTCAGTAACGAGAAAGGTAACTTCTGCTGCGTTGGTCAGGTAGGCACAAGGAGAGCACAGGAGCCGTTAGCTGACAGAGTCCTGGCAGCTATAAAAAACAGCACTGGCAAGTACATCAGCAGTCTGAGGCAACATTGGCATTGCTGTTGCAGAGGAAACCAAGCTTGCCCATGTTTTTATCCTCTCCTTGCTGAGAAGTAGCAGTTGTTAGTCAGAGCATTCCAAGCCAGACTGATAATGGAAACCGTTGGCTTCTGCAGGTGTGGATGACGGCGAGGATATCCCACGAGAAATGCTGATTGGGATTTACGAGCGGATCCGCAAACGGGAGCTGAAGACGAATGAGGATCATGTATCCCAAGTCCAGAAGGTTGAAAAACTTATAGTAGGAAAGAAACCAGTAAGTTCACTTTGCACTGCCTGTCAGTTACTACGGACATGTAGGGCAACATACAGTATAGAAGAGTACAGAGGTGTGCTGCTTAGAGGTAGAAATTGGTTGATAAATGCCAAAAGGCAGAAATTGTCAAAATAATAATTTGTTATAAGTTTGGTTTTAATTTTGGAGCATTCACAGTGCAAATGAATTTTGTTGTTGCAGTCCAATATTCATGAGTGATGATGTTATGAGCCTTAAATTTTTTCTCTATATGAAGCTTTACAATTATGAAACTACACTGAAATATCTGCGTTTTGGGTAGTTCTCGTGTTTGTTTCAAGAGAACTGAAGTGTGGTGTTAGTGATGTTGTAGAGAATCTTATTTCACCATTTATGCTATCAGTTGTGGCTCCATAATTTACAAGAGCAGTAGAGAACTTATGTTCACATCAGCATCTTTCTCAGCTTTGCAGCTGGCTCTATGAACTGGTGTATGTAAGGGGAGATGGTGTCATTTTGTCTCAGAACTGATCTGGAAATCAGGTCCCAGGGAGTCTAGTGCTGCGTTTGAGCATCCAAAGATACCTCTTTCTTTGCTGTGGGAAAAATCCTGAAATACTTTGCTATATGAATTAATCTTCAAAGTGTCTGTTGGAAAAGGAGAAAGAAAAGGAAGACCACAGCATTTTTCCCTTTGTTTTAGGAGCTGAGTGAACACTGACATATTAAGACCAATATTTTACATGCTAACGATTGTATCTAATGTGGAGAGGGACAATGGATACTCAGCATTCCTGAATTCAAGTCCCAAAGTCATCTTTTGAAAACCTTCATGTTAACAGTCACAAAGGCAGCCCAGAACAAGACCAGAAACAGACTAGACTTGCGTGTTTTTGAAGTGCTGCATCAGGGGGTTTTTATCAGCTCTGGGGCACTTTACTGAAGCAGGGACTGATGGGTTGGGGGATTTTTTATTAAGAAAAAGAGCGTGGATCTCGAGATTCTCTCTATTACTTTTAAAGAGCTTTGAATTGTAATCTCTTCTCAGACAAGCCTCGATGCAGGGAGTGGGCAGAGGGGAGTGAGGGGCCACCAGAAAAAGAAAATCCAATTTGCTTCTGTGTCTCAGTAAGGAAACATTTAGGAGATCTCTTGGAAGAAGCAGAGGAGAGAGAATGCAAAATTTTCTTACTAAAAGCTTTTACATATTTCTGAGCAGAAGGGAAAGAAATATTCTAAAGTCAGTATTTGACAGTCACTTATGCTTTCATACAAAACTTATTTTCCATAATTGTTTAGGGATTTAGGTTTATATATAGGCTTCTGTGGGAGGTGTTTTTTTTCCTGGTTCTTTTTTTATTCAGGCATGTGGCAACTCAAATCCTAAAACTAATCCTGACCTTGTAAATTAAATGGGATTAAGAAAACAATGCTCCCAGTAGCGTCCTGTGTTCAAGGATTCTTCTGTTGAGAGACTTTTTAACTGTGTGAAAGAAAATAGGAAATAGCCAACAGTCTGTATTGATAGAAATATTTGTTTTTACTTTATAGGCATTTAGTCATAGTAAGACCGTGACGTATTTACTTGCTATGATACAGTACTGTGTTTCTCTGAAGTTTAATGAACTTGTATATGTCTTTCTACTGTAGATTGGATCTCTGCACCATGGACTTGGTTGTGTACGTATTTCTCTCATACTCCTTCAAAGTTTACAGTCATTTTAACTGGCAGCTTTTTCTTAATTTGGCAATAACGTGTTCTATTATGTTTTAACTTTTTTTAAAAATGGGCTTCTTTCAAGCAAAATTTTCCTGTCGTTGTGGTAATAACTCTCCAAAGTATAAAAGTTTTCTTAAAAATATATTTCCCAGAATGACTGCTTAAGTTATTGAAAAAAGTTTTCTAGACCTTTTTTTAGTACACTTGTTATGCATTTCAAATGCTGTTGCCACTATAGAAATTAGACAGCCAGTAAAGAATAAATGACCCTGTAAAATTACAGTTGCTCCTCCCCTTTCTACCTGGGTCCTGGTGTGTTTCTTCTTCCTGGTTCACTTCAGAATTGAACGATACTCTACAAATATATTACCAGTTCATTTAACAGTTCTCTTCGGAAAGGTAGATGAACACAGAAAATAATGATTCCAGATTTAAGTTATAGGCATATTCCCTATTAATCCTAAAACTATTCTTCTGATGCAGTGTTCCACTCACTTTGGTTTCACGATAACATTAGCACTAGTAGTTTAGAACAAAGAAGCCACCTCATAGCAGAGGAGTGCACGTAGTGCTCTGAAATCTTGTTACTTTACACAAATTCGATCGTAATGATTTTTTTTTTCCTCAATTACGACTGCACTGTGCGTTAGCATCTTCACTCAGGACAATCCAGAGAAATAACTTTAGACTTTCATTTGCTTCTCAGTCTTGCATTTCTTACTTTTTCTGCATAAACAAGTAAAATTATGCAAACCTAGCTTCATATTCCTAAATGAAGTACCTGTCATTGTTTCGTGGGTGCATGTCTAGCAGTACCACTGGACTGTAAAAACAAACTGAAGGATATGACCTTTATAAAAGATGGTGGAAGGGAATCTTACCAGATCATCTATTGCTATGAGTGAAAGTATTGCCTATAGTTAAATTTCAATACCAGAGCTCACTGTAGTTGTTTGCAGGTTCATAGGCTCAGTGACTACCCTTGGGTTTTGTTATCTCACTGTAGCAAATCTCAGACTGCCATGTGCTGGGGAAACTGAGTCTGGAGGTAGGAGAGAAGGAGAACATGCAAGATTTGTTCCTGTCAGTTTTCACTGAGAACCCATGTAAGCTCTTCAGTTAGCTGAATAGCCTGAAAATAGAAACCATTGATTTCTCCAGCATTCTTCACCACACTGGCTTCTTTAGAACATGTCAGATGTTACCTTAAATGCCTTCTCCTTGCAAGATCAGAGAGGGTAATTAAGCTAATGCCATAGATAAATTAAATGCTGTTAGCATTTTATTTTTTATTAGTATAGTTATCACTGGATTTTGGGGAGAAATTGAAATCTCACCAAATGACTTGATAACCAACCAGGAACAAGGGCAGATAGTGAATCTTAAATTTTTTTCCCCCTCTCTTCCCCTCTCCTTCCCTCCCACCATGCACTAGAAGAAGCAGCATTAACAGTCTTTGACTGTTTTTCTTTGCCTAGTGAATCTCGTAATTCTCGCGCAGAATCAGGAATTATAAAGAAATATAATACATAAATGAAATATATGTCTAGTTACCAAGAGTATTCTCTACTTCAAATTTTTTAAGTTTAAAGGATTTCTTTTAATATTGTCGACAAGATATCATCATTTGCATTTGAAAGAAATTAGTTCTTAGCAGATTGAAAACAGGAGCTTCGAACATAGCTTCAGCAGACTTTTTAAATAAGAAAATGGAAAATTATTCTTGGTTTTCTTGCTGGCATGAGAAAATAAGCCACACTGAAAATGCATTTACATTTTCCTGATGTCACCATTTCCTTGGTATTGAGGAGTGAACAAATCGAATTAACTCAGTGGCCGACAAAAAGTAATCTACAACATCAGCGTATTCATCTCATAAAAGCTAAAGTTGTGTTGCATCCTTTTTTCTAATAAAGATATGTAAAAATGCTCAGCAAAGCAAACATGCTTTGCTTTGACCTCCCACTTGCTTCATCTTCAGTTCTTTCAAGGTTTTATTGTTTCACAAATAAAACTTTCATGTCCAGTAAAACTTCCATTGGCATCCATATATAGAAATGCAAGCTGTTAGACAATGTTTTATATAAGAATTTTGATGAAGTTTGAATGTCGTGCAAGTTTGTGGCATATAAATCTTTTCTTTTTCCGTTGTTGGTGCTTTGATGAAAAAGTCTAATGGGCTTAGAGGTAAAAATATCTGAAGTATTCAAAAAAAGACTCCAGGTAGAAAAGATGCTCTTTTTTGGCTAAATGCTGCTCTATTAACCATGAACTTTTCTATTATCATAGGTCCTCTCTCTACCCCACCGGAGGCTTGTTTGCTACTGTAGGCTGTTTGAAGTTCCAGATCCAAATAAACCTCAGAAGCTTGGATTGCACCAGCGAGAAATATTTCTATTTAATGATCTTCTTGTGGTACGTACTTTCAGGTGGATAGACTTCTAGTGAGGTATTCAGAAATGCCCATCTCTGCGAAATCACTTGCATGAGCATTCCTAAAAATAAATATTTATCTATTACCTGTTACTCTGTACTCTAACAATCTTTGGATTGTTAAGATTTAAATTTTCTTAATTTTCTTCTTTATATATAATTTGCTTTTAAACTGAAGCCTTTTATTGATTACTACACTCTGTTATAAGCAAGTACTTTGATGCAATAGCTTTTACTGTAAAGAACAAAAATTACCTCCAGTTTACCCATTTCCCTAATGCGTAAACGGAAACGTTCTTTATTCCGTGAATAATGAATTCAAGTTTCTTGTGGAAAAACAAAATTACATACTACTTTATATTCCCCAGATGTTCTATGAACCAGGCGCATATATTCATTGAAATAGCAATAGGATATGTTGAAATACATTTTACAGTTGACTTTCCTTTTTAGCGTGCATGTAACTTGACTCAGTCTTTTGAAAAACAGACATACAAAGCTAGTTACAGCTTGGAATTATTTGGTTGATTTACTCTTAAAAATAGGAAAATTTGCACTCTATTTGGAACGTATTCGACTGTTACCTGAGAAGTAAGAACTAAACTAAATAGTTCATGTTTTGTTACGAAGAAGGCATGATTCAGATGCACAATTTTATTGTAATTTTTACATACCTTCAGACCTTAAAACCAGAAAGTAAATGAAAGAGAAAAGTAATACTTTTGATTGTGAGTATAACCTCTTGTTGCAAATTTGAGTTTTGGTGCAAAATGATGGAACGTTGTCGTCTTCAGCTTGCAAGTTTTCTGTCTTTTTTTATTATTTAGTGAGATGTCAGTAGTTTTATCAAACTATTTTAGGACTAATATAGGCCAAATTTGTCAGTTCTAGCGAAATGCCATCACCAAAAGTTAGAATTAGAAAGACCTAGGAAAACTAAACCTCTTAGTTTTAAAGAGAAAGAATGATTTGCCTTCATTTGGTTAGTAGTAGTGTGTTACTTCCATTGTAGCAAAAAGTAAAGGTTTCCACAGACTCGGAGCTTTTCTTGAGATAGGTGCTGTACAAATCATAGGGAAACAGGGCATCCCTGGATGAGGTAGCGTAAGACACTGTTTGGAAGCACACCGAAGTGAAGCAGGCTTGGAAGGTCGCACAGCACGTGAGAATAAGGGCTGAGAACTAAACTTGTGTGGAGAGGTCCATAGGTGAGTCCTGCCTGTAGTCAGACTAAGAAGAAAACGTGAAGGGAAGTGTGGAAGCAGCTAAGTGTTTGCAAAAGCATCATTTAAACGTATTTACATTTTTGCAAGCATGTACTGTGCACAATAAGGATGCAGGTTGTTTTTTCTTTCTCAAATTTCAAGAAGTAGAGTTCTGGAGAATAGAGAACACGTAGGCTTTGTATCTGGATAAAATATTAAACCTTCTGCTTAAGAGATACCAATGCTTCAAAGCTCACTTTGTTTCTGCAGTAGTAGTAGATTAAATACATCAGTTGCATTAAAAAAAAAATTAAAAAATTACAAGTTCATCTTTTCTGGCAGATTATAGCATAAAATGTTTTCGCGTGTGCTAATTCTTAAGAACAGTAATTTTCCAGAAGCATATATGGTAAAAGAGATATTTCACTTTGTTTATTTGATAACTTTCAGGTGACAAAGATTTTTCAAAAGAAGAAGAACTCAGTTACATACAGTTTTCGACAGTCCTTTTCCCTCTATGGAATGCAAGTTCTTCTTTTTGAGAACCAGTGTAAGTCTTTTCTCTCTTTTTAGATGACCATTTTATTTATAATAAAATAAAATAAAAATCTGTGTGAGTGAAAGGGATGGACAGGACTTGATTCTGAATTTAGGAATAAAATTGCTTTGAATTTAACTTAGTCTTAAAGTTTAAAAGAAGATGGTGTCAGCATAAGAAATAGCAAGACCGCTCTTAGATATATTTTTTTTTGGTTGTAGTCAGAAGCCAAATGTAGCCAAATGTGTTGTTCATGAGTGCTTGAAAGAATAGAATGTTCACAAAGAAACAAGTATGTTACATCTGTTGCTGAGTCGATGGTACAGTTAGCTAGAGCTGAATGTATGATAATAGATAGTGGCTATTCTAATGATATGTGTAATTCAAACCACTATTTAATATTTCTTCCTGATTTATATCTTAACGTTGTGCCTCAGTAATGTATACACATTCAAAAATAAATATAAAGTAGAGTCTGGATTAAAGTTTGTATTTTCTGACACCTTTTGTTTATGTCAATTGTAATCTGCATCAATCCAATATTCTTTTTATCTTTAATGCTTGTCAAGCTTAGTCTTAGTAGACAACAACCCAACAAAAAGCAAATAGTTGCTGATGCTCCTATGGATTTTAAAGCCCAGAGACAGCATCTGTAACAACATAGCAGAGCGTAGTTGTCTGTGTGGTACATAAGGAGACAGTCTATTTGACCTGACTTAATGGTTTGTCAACCAAACCTTGACATTCATAATAAATCGGGTACAGGTCAGTGTGACATTCAGTAGTTTCTGTATTTTCTGTTGTGGAAAGCTCTTCGTTTTTGCTTGTCCTTGAGAATGTGTTCCAATGGAGATTTCAAAAGGGAAGTAGAGCTTATAGAAGCGATGTAGCCTGCAGATTATTTATATGCCTACACATTCATTCTCTCTCATGTGCATGCTTTACATGATATAAAATTCATTTTTGGACAGGAAGACCAAATATATCTAGCCTGGATTCTACTGAAATTAGAAGAATATATAATTCCTCTGATGTCAATTTAAATTTTAAAACCTAAAAAAATCACATAAGCATGCTAAGTAGAAACACTTTATTGAAGTAAACTTAAAATTATCTATCGTGAGACTAGGAGTAAAGGGTTGGATTCCTCCCAGTGAGCTGGAGACGTTTTAACTGAGACACTTTAGTAAACATAGTTGGGCTCCTAAGGTAAATTCACTCTGGTGAATCAGTGAGCTGATTGTGCGTCTAATATCGGGGCCTGACAGGTGGAATGCAGTATCTTCCAGTTGGGAAAGAGAAGAAATATTGGTTTTGCTACTGATGAGGTTGAACAACATGATTGGCATTGATGACAGAAGAATTGACTTCTAATGATAGAAGTCAGTTACATTGAGGGATGGATGAGCTCCAAAAGAGAAAATAACGTCATGTATCTTTAGTAAATAAATAGGCCATAAGGGAAGTATATTTTATATTTTCAGTCAAAATCATTGATGAAATATAAAGGGTGAGCAAATCACATCAGAGAGAGTCTATCTGAAACCAGTAAATATTTACTTACGTCAGTGTTTCCTGATGCTTAATCAATACGATGTAGCGAACTATCTCTGGTGCTAAAATATTTTTGGTTTAGTAGCGTGTGGAAATTAATTCTTGGTTCATACGTGAAGGTGGCCCATGTGGTTTTGGGGTTACCAAGTTTTCTTGGTCAGTGTCATAAACATCTTTTTTATTCCTAGTGGTGCACTTTCTAGAGCTGTTGGCTGCATGTCCAGTTTCAGTGTTTGAAGCAGTACATGGTGTTACATGACGCTCTCCTCCCGTTAGCTTGCCCAGCACCAGCCTCCTGCACCTGTGGCCATTTGGCCATGTTCTGAACAGCAGCAGCTGCACGCAGCTCGAGGCAGCTGTCTTACTCCATTGAAGATAGATGCACTTATCCTGTGGTCAGGAGCAGCAGATCAGCTACACGTTGCTTCTGGGCAAGATGTTTGTATCAGTCCCTGGCAGAAGCCCCAAATTCTTGCTTCCTCCTTCCCCTCTGCAACCTTTGAAGCTTTTGGTAGTTGGCACCTTTTTTCACCTGAGAGTGGTAAACAGACTTGCTTCACTTTTAGTTGCAAATCTGATTTGGAAGTTAAGATATCCTTTTAAAAAAGGATTGAAAAAGGATTCTAAAAAAGTGCATTTGTACTTCTTTCTCAATATTTTAACTCTGTATATTGTTGAAACCTAATAGCTTTGAGGAAAAGACTACCTTACATCATCTGCTGGTTCTTGAGGGAAGGAATTTTTAGTACATGGGAGCACTTGAACTTCTGGTCAAATACTTAAGTAAATATTTGCGAGCTTTAGCAAACCAAGAAGGTCAGGCAGTTGAGTAAAAGAAAACATTGTGAGTTAGAATGCACATTTTGAGTTTTTCTAATACTCCGTTTCTACAGATCTGTGCAATGTCTGATTCTGTTTTCTACAGCAGAACACATCTCTGTTATAAGCTATCTTTCTGTAAATGAACCTTTTATCTCAACCAGGAGGTATTTTTGACCAGCTGTTAAAATTTGCGTTCTCAGATGCGCAGCTGGAAAAGAGGCAGAGACAGTTTGCTGAAATATCTGTATTTTATTGTGAAGATATCCATAATATAGGCAGAGGAAAAACAAAAACAAAAAAAAAAAACAAACCCAGCCCTTTTACTTGCTCAGTATGTAATTTCACAGATAATTTTAACTTTTTATTTTTTAGAAAAAAAATGAAAGTAGGATATCCAGGGAACACAGCTTAATGGGAAATAGTGAAAGCTGTACATGCTAGTGTGTTTGTCTTCTGCAAACGTTAAGTTAAAAGTGTAAGACAGTTTCTAGTACTCAAGATGTGTTCAAGTAGTCTTTACTCCACGAAACTTCAGTCACGATTGACTAAGGTAGGTAATAGGATCTGTTTCATGAAGCAAAAATTACCCCCTTAACTTTTTTGGGGTTTTTTTTCTGGGATTTTTCTTGTATATTATACATTGTACCTTAAGGGTAACAGCTGCATGAAGACTATCTGTCAGTATTTATTCCGTATCTTAGCAGTTAAGCAGTTCCAATGTATCTTAGGGATTTTCTTTCTAATCCTGTGCCTTCGGACTTTTATTTCCCTGCCTTTGTTCTCTATATGGTAATATTAGTCAAAAGCGTTTAGTTGTGAGGGGTTGGGTGGTTGGTTTGTTTTTTAATAAAAAGAAAAAAAGGGAATAATCAGAGCTTAGTTCGTCTTGACTTTTTCTTCTAGATTATCCCAATGGTATTCGGCTTACATCAGCTGTTCCAGGAGCAGATATTAAAGTACTAATAAATTTCAATGCACCAAATCCTCAGGACAGAAAGAAGTTTACAGATGATTTGAGGGAGTCAATTGCAGAGGTTCAAGAAATGGAAAAGCACAGAATAGAGTGTAAGTACAAAGGTACATATAATGGAGCATTTTCAAGCTAATCGAAATAAGAAAATCTTGAATGTGTATATAACCAATTAGAACTCTTTAAAAAGTTCAGAATAATGTAGGTTTTTTCCATGACTTTGATTCTAGAAAGAGGAAAACCCCAATGATATCTTAAGCCCCAGCTGAGTTCATTGACTATTATTTGCTGCCGTGTAGCTGCAGTGGAAATTTAGCCTGGACAAACTGCAAACAGCAATGGACTGAGGAGAAATAGATTTGTAATTTGTAGTATAAATTGTGGTAAGAATTTTAGGGATAATTTACATCACTGAAATTCTCAATGATGGCCCTTCAAAAATAAGTTTCACTGATTTTTTTTCTTCATTTCCATGTTGATATTCCTGTATTCTCTCAATTAGGTAGCCATAGTACAAATTGATATATTTTTCTGGAAGTTACATGAGTGTCTAACAGTCAAATTTTATCTCCTTGTTTTCCAAAAGAGGACTTTTCACCCTGTTTGTTGTAACATGAAGCTGTTAGTATGGGGTTGAAGTTCCTCTCTGGCATGTAACAGAGTTATCTGTTCTTCACAGTAACACATGATCACATAGAGAAATTGTGACCTTACCACGTCCTGCGTTATAGGCAATAAATATGAATTGCAAAATTATCCTCTTTGTTTCAGCTGAGCTAGAAAAACAGAAGGGCGTGGTGCGTCCAAGCATGTCTCAGTGCTCCAGTCTGAAAAAAGATTCTGGCAATGGGACGCTGACCAGAGCTTGCCTGGACGACAGCTACGCGACTGGGGAGGGGCTGAAGAGAAGCGCGCTGAGCAGCTCCCTGAGAGACCTGTCCGAAGCAGGTAAGCACTGCCTCTGTTTCCCTGCTCCCACCAGTGCATGCACGGTGTGTGAATGATGCACATAAAGCCCAGCTCACGGTGGGCTTTCACAACCAGTAATGCTGAAACTTCAAACATTTCGAATAGCTCCTCTTTCATACTTCGTGTTTAATTTCTGTTTGTTTTTTGCCCTTGTTCTATTAAGCAACCACTATTTGAAAGCATTTAAATCGTTGTAGATTGCTATATATGCTTTTAAAGGAGAGCGAAGACAGAGGAAAAATTGTAAGTGTTTTATAAAAAAAAACAAACGGTTGAGTCGTGCTAGGAGTAACCCACTTAGTTTTCCTTTCTTTTTTTCTTCCTCTTTGCTTCTTCCCCTTCATACAATTGGCCTAGAAAGAAAAGGAAAGAAACTGGTCTCTGTGTAACGACCGCTTTCTGTGTATTTTGTGCTCAAGTGTACCTGTGTTACCACATTGATGAATGAAATTGAGTGAAGCCCTACTAAATTCTGCCTAGAGCTATGTAATTCAGATACAGTGTGTCCCTGATGCTCTTTTATTGCTTTGTAACTCGAGATATAGTCCCCAGTTCTTGCAAAAGAAGTTGTTGTGAAATACTACTGCCAGTATAATAAAGGAAGCCCTAGTGGACAAGAATACTGATATCCCACTAAACCACTGATGGGTCTTAAAATTTATTAACTGATTAATATAGCTAAAGACTGGAAAGGAGTGGTGGTGGTGTGATTTTTTTTTTTTAGCCAAAGAAAAGCCGGGGGAAGTTTGGCATGTTTTTATTTTATGATCTGCCTCGGTAATACGCAACTGGCATACCCGTGTACTACACGCTACCACGAGTAGTAACCTTGTCTTTCAGTGTTAAACATTTCTCCTGTCACTTGCAAGAAGTCCTATCTGAACACCATGCCCACTATTCAGAAAGTATTTCTGGGGATAGCAGCAACTTATATATATTTTTTTTAATTATTTTTTCGTAGTTACATACTCTGATTTGTTCTTTTAATGGCAGTGGTGGTTTACAATATAGTCATAAGTTCAATACTATGTCTGTCTTTGGCAGTAGATGCTGCTTATCTTTTTCCTTTTTTAACTAAAGAAGAGATTTTAGCTATGCTGCAATAAATAGAATTGTCGTAAACTGAAATTATAGCCTGTGTTTTCTGGGTATATGTATGTGCATACAAATATGTAGAGAGTGAGCTCTTTTATTTTGTTCTGTGTTTAGGCTTTCATACTCATATGTCCATTTGCTTCATTGAAAAGACCCAGGACCTTGATCCAAAATCAGGCTGAAGTTGAACATAGGTGCTTGATTGGCTTCAATGGATTTTAGATCAAGCCACTAGTCTTCACCACTGTCATATCTCAGATTTGAGGATACTTCCATCATCCTTTTCTGTTTTTTTGGTTTTATTTCATTAGAATAAGAACTACCATATTGCCAAATATGTGAGTTCAGTGGCTATCTGTACCCATAAACATGATTTCTGATTAATTTTTTCATCCCATAGGACTTTTTCATCCTTGTCTTTCAGACATTGCCATGTCTTTCAATTCATGTTGTGGGTTTTATGCAATAAACAAGTATTTGTAATCATGAAAGCATTTCACGTTTCAACATGCCTACAGTTGGCATGCTTATTACTGAAAATAATTTTTTTCCATTATAAAAAGTAGAAATCACTCACAGACTGCAGGGTTTACCAATGAGTTTGTTAAACCCGACTAAACTTAATTTTAACTTTTAACGAGTTGAGAATTATGGAGAGTTTCTGTTTGCTCTTGTGCAGTGCAACTCACTTGAGAAATTACGCACCTGTTATTCGCTTTGTTATTTAGCGTAATTTTAATGAGATTATACATGTCTCTTCTGCCTTTTCTCAGTGAATAGCTTGCATGTGAGGCTGATTTTGTTTTAACATGGGACAGATGATCCATAGAAAACAAAAAAGTCTCTTTCAGTGAGCAAGATACTGCGTCCCAGAGATTATACCACACTAAATCGCTTCTGTAAAAGAGTACTGAGTTAGGTTGCCTCAATTCTTCTTTTTGTGGATAAACACAGGATCAAAAAGAGTAGTGGGACTGTGTGTGAATGTGTGTCTTTCTGTAGGAAAAGGTATGATGAAAGTGGATTTCTAGAGAGTTCCTTTCTACATTTAAACAAAAATAAATCTAATAAACATGAGAAAATTGCCTGGTTGCATATTTATCCGGTAAGGCAGGTAATTCTCCAATGAACATTGCAAAAACAGATCGAAAATCTTAAAATATTTACTCAAAGAAGGGGAAATTTGATTGAACAGCATTTTGGTTCATGGGTATAAGACAAAATTATTTAAGAAAGCAGTCCATTACTCTCTACCAGGTATCACAGTAGTAAATGGTGGCTGTGGAAAGTGACTTCAAATTTCTCTCTTGGAAAAGAGTGATGATTCATAAGCTTCTTAGGTCTAATGAATGTGGATACCTTGAACGATTCTGACTCCTAAGCTGTAAACTGTAAGGAAAGGGAAGATTTCTCTGCCAGGAAACAATGTCAGGAATCGTTTCCTGATGGTTGTTCTTCTGTGCATTTGCCATGATAGCTTAAATCCTAATTGCAAAAAGGATGTGAATGAAGGTCTCTTCATCTTAAAGATACTATTGTTCAATGTGGATCGACAGTCCTTTCCATGGAATAAAAAGCAGAATGTGGCAACCAACTATTCCAAGGTGTGAATATGTCAAAAGTATTTGGTAGTTTATTTTTCTCAAAAAAAAAAAAATATCATTTTTATTACACATTCTTGAGCTATAGTCAAGGAAGAATTTATTTGTCCCAGACTTTGAAATTCTTAATCTACACAAAAATATTACACGACAGACACATTTTAATGCAGTTCAAGCTGAGTTTTACAGGTTGCAATAGAATTTTGGACATTTCACCACTTGTTCTATATACAATGATGTGCTAGGTAGGTTTACAGAAAGATGTGAAGGGTGTGAAGTCCCATCGTGGCCATTAGTACGTGGGAAGAATGATTCGGTCACTAAAGCAGAGCATGGAGGGTTAGACTGGTTGTGTTTCTGTATCTCTCACAGGTTTCTTGGCTGAATTTAGTTTAGGCTAGTTGATCTGAATTCCCGTGACTCTGAGTTGCTGGAGGACCCAGTGCTTTCACCCTGAGTTTACAGTAGTGAGCACCTGTGGATATCAAGCTTTATTCCCCCATCCCTAACTTGTAAGGCAGGAATAATATTCACATGCTGCATTGGTTTAAAAATTGTAATTGTGTGGCTTGCCTCAGTAATACACCATGGGCATGGCTGTGTAATATTGCAACCTGCACAGAAATGCAGGGTGGTATAGTGGTTACTATTAAAATAAGTTGTGTTTGCCTCATAATCTCCTGAGCTATCTCAAAACAACCCACAGACCGGTGGAGACTACTGAAAAAAACCCCACCAACCAAAAAACCCAAACCAAAACCATAAAGTGGTTCCAAAATTAAAATAATTCTATTTGTATATTGCATATAATCTTGGTTATCAACTTTTAACTTTTTAAATGTTTCTTTTTTCTTTTTTTTTTAAGAATTCCATCATGTATTTTTTTTTAATTTCCTATATCCCAAAACGTAGTGGAAAAGACTGTGGAACTTCTCAGCATTGTACTCCCCTTAAAAAGGCTCTGAGTTCATGCAGTTACGGAATCCCCTCATCCATTGGATCAGTCTGTGATGGGCTGGTGCAGTCCCTTGGCTCCCCCTCACTGATGCAGGCAGGGTTACTAGCTTATTTTCTCCTTTCTCTCCCACGGATTTTGCTGCACTCTGTAGGGAGGGTGCTAGCAGCCTTTATCTTCCTTATTAGAAGGGCTTTTCAAGTAGGGAGAAATTGTTCCTGTCTCTTCTCTTGTCACTGTTAGATTTCCTGTTCTTCAGTGGAATAGCAACAGTAATGGGCATGATAGAATTTTCTGGGGTTTTTAAAAATAAAACAGTTGTATGAATCAAGTCTTTTGTGATACGTGTATGGTAATACCGTACCATTTCACAAGGTATGTTGTACAAAGATACCCTGCACTGCACGTAAACACCTCGTATCAACAACTTTCCTGTCTTACGGAAGAGACGCTGTTTGCTTTTCCAGTGAAGGAAGAGTTCAGCAAGGCGAGGGGTGGTTATGTTCTCATCTCCTGGGGCTTAATCAGTGTTTTGAGAATAATCTCTTGGAAGATGCTGAGAAACTGTTTTCACAATTGATGTGTAATCTTAAGAGAATACTTGTATCACGCAGAAAACAAGATGAAAATATGAAGGTTAACAAAGAGTTTTTTCACCCTGGAGAGTGATGTCTCTAAATTAACGATTAGAGCAAATTGTTTAGATAATTTTGAGCAAGTCAGGTTGGGTAATATAACCATGTAGCTCAGTAGCTACATGGTTACACATTCTGCTGCTGCTGGGAATAGCAATTTCACAGCCTTTGGAGGCTGGTATAACAACTCATCATTGTAAGAGCTGCTGTATTAGTTTGCTTTACCAAAACCTTAATTGAGAACTTTTTTCCCAAACTTTATTTCCCAAGACTTACAAAGCCAGATGATAATGCGTTTTTTAGATATCAAAGTATCTCACTGGCGTAGAACAGATTTTCAAGAAATACAGGGTAGCAGTGAGAAATATTTACATTTACTGTAATGATATGCACGTCTTGGAGATCAATTTCTGCAAGATCCAATGGATTCTTATTAATGAAACTCTGTATTTTATTTTGGAATGTTTAAGTTTGTAAAAATATTTTCATCACTTAATATTTCCACTAAAAGTTTGAAATATTCTTAGTCCCATATAATGCATGTACATATATGGGACATATTATGCTTATGTAAGTTAAAAATATTTCTTACAAAGAATATTCATATCTAACATCAATGAATTGGAAAAGATTAAATTAACTGAAATTTAATTTCATAGAAATTAAAACCAATTTAAATAACATCCTTAAAAATTGCAAGTAGATCAGAATATATTAAGCAAAACCGGTCTTCAGATTTGATAAATGCCACGTTGCTTTATATCAGAGCTGTTAATTATTCTGGGAGTACGGAGTTACCCTTACATACAACTCTAGTCAAGAGTCACCATTTTCTTGAAATGCATTTGAACGCTGCAGCTCCAGGGGAACGTTTTTGAGATGGGATGGCATCTCAAAGACCAGAGCATGGTCCTGCATCAACACACATTGGCAGGGGGAATGCTCTAGAGGATTTACGTAACAGCTTCCATATCACACCGTAGCTCAATGCAGAATTGGGTTCAATTTGGTTTTAAGGAAATAAATAAAACACTCTTTATCGTGATAGTGCCTATCTGAGGGAAATTACAGGCGTTTTAAGTAGGATTTTCTGTTTATTGTTGGCTTTGCTAGTACTACTCTGCCCTGAAGTTATTCAAAGCAAAAATCTATCTGTCTCTTTCTGTCCATATATACTGTGTATATATCATGTTCATGGTTATTTTATTGGAGACTTTGCTGTACGCAAAAGGCATTAGATTTTCTTGTTTTCCTTCATTTTTGGCCACATTTAATGACCTATGGCAGCTGTCAGTCTTATTTGCAATATTGACTGCTAAGACATGGCTATCTTCATCTGTGTTTTTGTTATCAGCAAGCAAGAGTGATTCGAGTGTTAATCAGTACTAATCCCGTTAGCAGAGCAGAAAAATATCAAAGCCTGACTAGAAGTAGAAATAAGGGATTATCAAAACCAGTTTTTCTTGAGGGGTTCATAACATAGCACAGTTACGGTTTTGATGAGGCCAAAACTGCAGCAAGAGGTGAACTGCCAAGCTTTTGACAAAGAGCCTGTCTAGGGGAATTGTTCAAAATTCCAACAAATTTAACAAGCCGGACAAAACACCTTGACCTCAAACGCCTTCTCCTCAGTTTAATATCAATGTAGAGAGGTTTGTACTGGGGAGTAACTCCTGGTTAGGTGAGAGAGGGGGAAATATTACAGGAGTCTAAAGAGAGCTGTAGCTCTTAAAAGAAACTTGTATTGCAGGGCGGCATGCCATGACCAGCAGGGTCAAAGTTATGCCCATGGATGCAACAGGTGGTTTTTTTAGATCATACTGATCTTACAAGACTTATGGGTAGTCTAAATTGGTCTGTGAGAGGGCAGGACAAGAAGTAAGGGTGAGCCTTCCAGGAATCACTGTTGTGTCCCGCTTACAAAGCAGTCCCAAAATTCTTCTCTGTAGCTCTCATGCCATGTGCCTTTTGGGCTTCTAAAGATGAGGGCATGTGGCTTATAGGTTCAGTGACGCTGAAATCTTCACATTCCTCTCCAAAACTGCCTGTTGAAGTCGAAGATTCTGAAGGCAGCAAGGTACCAATGCAGGGTGGAGACCGTCTTTGATATTTGGCCTTGCAGGAAAGCAAGGAGAAAGCACTGAAAAAATCCAGGTTTCTAAAAACATGCAGATGTTAGAGAAGCTTTGAGTACCTGACTGCTCTCCAAACGTTAGCTTTGTTTCTGCGCCCTGCCAGTAAATTGTTTTGAAGCTTTGCGAGCAACGCTTAACAATCTATCTTTTCAAAAATATCTGTTTCCACTGCAGCCATATGCTATTTTCTCACCTGTGAAATGAGAGAGAAAATCTGGGATCCTGTGTCCTATATATAGCCACCAAAGTGTTCCGGCTCTTTCGGCAAACAGTCTGGGGTTTCACGTGTAGTTTTAGGCAAATGTCGTTGGCAATTTGAGAATATTGGAGAACAAATCTGTCATACTTAAAGCACTGCACAGCTAAACAAACAAAATCTTGCCATAATGTCAAGACAGATTCCAGATTTATTAGTAAAAAAATTAAGTTTAGTTTTTTTAAAAACCTCATGAAAGAAGATTATATGAAATCCACTGAGGTTCAAAACTGAAAATGAAATGATGAAAGCAGTGCCCCTCACCAGTCCCCCACACTGAAGTTCAGAATATGCCAATATGAAATTTTGTATTTAAATTAATACCACCCCACAAATACATCTTTATATATATATGCTACCAGTCTTTAAAGAAAGAAACTTAATAGACAATTAGATTCCAGGAAATGGAACAACTTAAAATCGTTGCTGGTCAACATCATAACCATACTACTAAATACAGATGCTAAAATACGTGTATTTTAAGAGTTGTACAAATTAAAAAAATCACACCCTGCTAACCATAGTTGATTCACAACAACAATACGTCTTAAAAATCAGGCAGGTGCAGAAAGTTAATATAACTAGTGGCCTTAAAAGTCTGTTTCTGCCTAGTAGCTGCTGTACCAGTCCAGCACCATGTGCCCCCCCCCACCCCCGCAGCCCCTCTAGTTGCGTTTAGAGGCTCCTCTAGTGGTTGAGGGAAAGCAGCTGTTTTTCACCCGGGTCTTGTCTCAGTCTCTAATCTCTGGTGTTGCATGTCCTGGGCAGGCAAGCGTGGGCGACGCAGCAGTGCAGGATCGCTAGACAGCAATATGGAAGTAAGTAGGAAGTTCCTGATGTCTAGCTGGATGTGATGATGTGCATTTCAAACCTTTCTTTTATATACATATTTTTTTGCTCTTTTTTCTTCTAACATATAACCTGCCTGCCTCAAATAAAATGCATGCCTAGGCTACTCACTCCGTATTCTTCCAGCTTAAAAAGCACTGACAGCTTGTTTTAGACCAATGCCATTTTTGGTTTGAGCTAACCTTGTTCCCTTTGTTCCTGCAAGCATGGTTAAATGAATATGATGTGTCCTTTTGCCACCATTTCAGTCTGGTCCCAGCTTAAAAGCCCACTTGCTCTTTGTTACGAAGTACACTGTTCTTGCTGTTTGATATTTAGCTACAACTATTGACTTTCATGCTCAACCATTCCCATTGCTTATTTTCGAGTTAAATTGCTAAATGTATGCAGTCATGACACCATGGAATTGCACAGATAGGGCATGGGAGGAAAAAATTATTAAGATAGGTGAATTCAATGTGGATTTCATGAGATTTCATTCATCTTCAAACCATTTATATATACTGTTCATGTCTCTGAATTCAGCTTGCAGATTTTTTTCTTTTTTTTTCTCTCTTTGTTTTTTTTCTTTTGTGTTTGCTTTTAGGTAGATTGCAGTTTAAATCTAGCACACTTTGCCTAAGTACTGTTATGTCCCGTAACTCTTTTTAAAAAATACAAACCCAAAACTTCCAGAAACTAACTACACCATTCCAGGCTAAATAATAGAGAACGTTGGACCACAGGTCAGAAGGACACAATCACATAGAAATCTTAGTGACAAAAATGGTATGGTTCCATTTAACACATAATTCAGAGGTAGGCTTGAGAAGCAGCACTGTGGCATATAGTAGTGGAAAACTACTATTAAAAAAAAGTTTAAAATACTGTTTTGAAATCTGAATTGTAACTGTAATATTTGCTGCTGTGTGTTTAACTATTTAGGTTGAATTTAATGTAGTTTTATTTTTTGTTGTAAAAAAAAGCAAGTATGTGTTTTTTACAGAATTTTAAAATGTATTTTTCCTTCAAAAACACACGCCTAGGTCTTATGTCATGTTACTCCTCCGTGACATTTTTCCTACTTAAAGTCGAAACTTTCGATATTAAAGCACTGAGAGAAAAACATTTAATGCTTAAAATACCCCAAGAAGGGCACGAATTGCCTCATTGGTGACTTAGGGAAGGTGGAAATAAATTTTTTCCTAGAACTCTTTAACATAGTCCACCCATGTGAACACTGAAGGAGGAGTTTGTGGGTCAGTGTGAACTTTTTCTTTTAAGCATTTTAAGATTTTTTTAATTTTTATTTCTATTAATTTCTTTTTAGGGGTCCATCATTAGCAGTCCTCACATGCGCCGAAGAGCTACATCAACCCGAGAGTGTCCATCTCGCCCTCACCAGACTATGCCTAACTCCTCCTCACTCCTAGGTTCCTTATTTGGTAGTAAAAGGGGAAAGCCACCTTCCCAAGGCCATCCACCATCTGGCTCATCACAGCAACCTCCGCACCCTCCAGTAATCCCACATCAGCAGCACTCACAGCATCCTTCTGCCATGCATCACGCAGGGCCAGCTGAGGGGCAGACACAGGCACAAGTGCACTCTCACCATTCGCAGTACTGCCACATGCAGCAGAACCCGCCGCCCTACCACCACCACCACCACTACCACCCTCCCCAGCACATCCAGCACCCGCACCAGTACCACCAACACGTGCCCCATTCCCAGCACGCGGCGCACTCCCAGCACGCCCCGTACATGCAGCACCCCCACGCGCCGCATACCCACCCTCCTCATCCGCCGCTGCCCCCTCCGCACCCCGGGCACTCTTCTCATCCCCAGCACTCTCAGCATCACCACGGACCGCCACCACCTCCCTCCACTTCAGCCAGCACTAAGCCCAAACACAGTGGCATCAGCACAATAGTCTAGAACGTATCGACCCTCCTAATAACTAGAGTTTTAAACAAAGCTGCAAAGGCACTTACAGGAGGCAACAAGTAATATTGTCAGTTTTTACCTAGACAATTTAACCGAGTTGTATGAGCTTAAAGGCTTGCTGTTACTAAATAAAATAATTCAAGTTAGCGCAATCGATACTGGTTTTACTTATCTACGCCATAGACGTTTACCACCTGGTTAGTTCTTACTTCCAAACTGCCTTGAAAACATGCTGCTTGCTGAATATGAGTAAAGCTACCTTTTACACCAAATCCCTTGACAATTTTACATGAGTAATAAAAGCTTAGTCTATGAAAAAAAGGAAAAAAAGAGATACAGAACCAAGTGTTGCATTCTTGCTCTTTTATTGTCAATGGGCAAAAAAAATAAGTAGACCTGATATGGTTGATGAAAGTACGTAAGTAAACTTTATATAATATAAATATATACATATAAATATATATATACTGTATAGTTAACATTTGTGCTTGGAAAGAAATTTTTTCAGTCCACAAAACTAGCAATATAGACTTTACAAGAAATTCCACTTACTTGATAGGACAGTATAATAGATGAATAGCATCTGAAAGAGTAGACCAAAAACATTAAACGTTAGAAACAAATTTCAGACATGTCAGTATTTTCATTAAAAGTCCTCTGGACTTCCTAAGATTTCTAAGCAATCACAACTAAATGTGCCAAGTAACATAGCATTGAAATGTTGTAGTCAAATACTGCTTTGTATAGATCCTTATTTTATTAACACGATAATGTCATACGTAATCAGTATTAGAGCTGCTCTGCTATTTCAGGTAAGCAAACTCGTTAAGATGCAGTAATTATACCGTAGCAATGTAGGATGACCATTTCCAGTGGTCATCTTCAAGCGTTGGTCACACAAATTCTTAGACACTTTAAAGGCTGTGATAACTGTGAATTTACATGATCCACGTTTCTTTCGTAGGCGTATGATTTAGCGAACACACATGACGAGTTACGACAGGTGCATGTATACACTGCAAAAACATTCATCTCAAACATGAAAATGGCAAACTTCCATCTTTCCTGTTTACCATAATTTCTCATTTTTACCCCCGATGAAGCTGAATTCTAGTCAGAGCATTTCCATGTGGAAGTGCTCTGAAACTTGAAGGTTTGTTTTAGAATTTAGTATAGGGTTTTTATATATATATATATATATAAAATAAAAAAACCTATGTAATTCCATGTAGCCATGTGCTAGCAACAAAGTGGCTTCACCATTTTTACTCATCACGTTTGTTAGTTTGAAAGTACCCAGCACTCAGCAGGCTGAGTTTATGCTCAAACCGTCACGTTCATAGTCCAGTTAGTTGCAAGACCACATAAAAACAGGCTGTGCTGTTGTTGCTTATGTGTTGTAATCAAACCATTTGCAAATTTATATACAATTCTTATCCCAAAATCCTGTACAAAGTTATACATGGCGCCTACTTTGTAGTTTCAGCATTTTGAGCCACTGCAAGGACTTTACACCTAAACAGTAGAGACAAAGGAATCACAACTGCAAAACTGTACCAGCCTAAAAGCAAACCTTGAAGAGGATGAGCAAAAAGTTCCAGTATGAGATGGGTAAAAGTAATAATAATAATAACAATAACCACCATTCAATTTTCTATCTAACAGTACTAGAATTGTCAGAAATAATGAGGACATGAGACAAGAGAGTGACTTTCATATTGGCTTGCTCATGGCATCTCTACTATTTGGGGGGGAGGGGGGAGAGGTTGAGTAATTTTTTTCCCTTTCATGCCATTGATATCACAATACCAGCAAAACTGCAAACTGAGCACTTTGTTAACCTCCACAGAGAGCAAATACAGCAATCTAGAGTTTAGCCTTTTGTTTAAAGCTGTCCACGTTTGTTTCACGCTCGTGCAATACGTTTTCCCCTTCTGCTCCTTCTCTTCTAAATTATCTTCATGAAAAGAAAACGAGTAATTACATTATGATTTTTCAGTATCACTCATACTATTATAAATTCTGCGACTTACCTTAAGAGGGCTCATAAGGGTCCCCTGAGGCTCTGTTCCTTGCAGTTTAACAAAATATATACTGTTCTTATAAGGGAAAGTATAACTGTCTGCATGTCATCTAATGTTATTAGTGTGAGGCTCCACTCTACATATTGTATATTTGCAAAGTATATCAGTGTTACTGTTGATATTAGTTGAAGTAAAGTGACAACATATTTCAATATGTAGACTTTTCTTCATACATCTGTACCAATAGTAGAGTCTAACTGTAATTTATAGGTTGTTCCAGAAAAGATAAAGAACCATTCACGTACAAACATCTTTCAGAAACTGGGTCTTTTAATCAAAACAGAGGTAAGAATGCTCCTCTTCACTGAGTGACGGAGTCTGTACTCGTTTCAGATGCAGAGTTATGATGTAAGTAGAATTGCCTGTGTATGGAATAGATGCAGAACATGTGGTAGCAGTGGAGAGGAAAATCTGACTCCAGCGGTGTTAATTAACAGTGAAGATGTTAAATCTCCCAGATCTGCATTTGTTTTATGTTTAAAAACCCCTTTCATTCATTGAAATTAGCACGTATAAATACTCTAAACTTACACAGTAAGCCACATTTTAGTGCTTGACCACTGATTTTCCATGCCCAAACAATTAAATATTCAGGAGATGTCACAAACATGCGTGTAAAAAGCCGTTTACACATGATCTCATGTACACGTGGGGAAAGA